TGTCACATCAAAATACTCGGTCAATATAAGTTTAAAAAAAAAAAAAAAAACAACAACAAAAAAAAACAAAAAAAAAATAATTGGAAAAAAAATAACAAAAAAATTAAAATATAATACGAAAAGAAATATGAAAAAAAAACTCTAATATACTCTATATATAAACTATAAAATAAAAAACAAAAGGTAAAAAGGTAAATAAATCAAATTGATGAAAAAAAAGTTAAAAAATGAAAATAAATAAAGTAGATACAAAAAAGAAAATAAAAAATGTATATATATTTATAAAAAAAACGAAAATAAATAAAGTGTACAAAAAACGAAAAATAAAGTTAAAAAATCATGTGATGTAATTTTTTCCAAACCTCAGGGACCAAATATGAACTTTTAGGACTGATTTTGCAAAAAAAATTAACCAAGTTAACCATGAAACTCGTTAAATGGGTTAGAGTGATAATTCTGTGATAAAGTTGTGGCCATAACAATAATAAAAAAAAAATATTATGACTTTTTCCAATTACGGTTTAAAAATTTAGGACTTTTATAATATTAACCCTTAAACAAAATAGGGTGTTAGATACAGGGCCAACCCATGGGCTGGGCCCCCAAAAGCAAAATGCCAAAGGGCCCCTATTTTAGACTTACAAGATAGGTTAAATAATAACATTCTATTAAAATTAATCATGGTGGACTAGTTTTTTAAAACCCAATACTATAATCAGTTCTAATCGGGGAGTGAGGGGAGTAGCGAGCAAGCGTGCATCTGAGTTCCAAATTCCAAGGCTTCATGACTCCTCAAAAGCAAGCGTGCATCTGAGTTCCGATTTCCAAGGCTTCATGGCTCCTCAAAATCAAGAGAAAATTTGAGAAATGATCAAAAAGAAGTGGTTGTTTGAAGAAAATATCCAAGGAAAAATACATTTCAGAAAATGACCAAAGGATCCGCAGAACACCTCTACCGATCTATTAAGTCATTTGCGGATTTGCTACACCTCTGTGGAATTGAGTTTTTTTAGTTTTTTTCATTTTTTTGCGTTAATTTTAGTTTATTAATATTAATTTTTTTAAATATACTAACACATTATTATGTAAAAAATTAAGAATTTTTTTTCGTTTTTTTGCGTTAATTTTAGTTTAATAATATAATTTTTTTTAAATACACTAATATAAATTTTTTTGAATGAGGTCTAACTCGTGGGATCCATTAAAAATTAAAAATAATGAACTTATGTTTTATCCGCAGAGCATCATCTGCGGATCCATTAAAGGCACTACGGATCCTCTACAGCTGCAGAATCTTTGTTTTCTTATTTTATTTTTTATTTTTTATTTTTTTTTGTTTTCTTTGCGTTCATTTTCGTTTATTAATATTATTTTTTTTAAATACACTAATATCTTATGTTATTATGTAAAAATTTTGACAAAAGAAAAAGTTAAAAATAATGAACTTATGTTTAATATCAATCCACAAAACTGTTTGGGAATCCACATAACTGTTATCAGTGGATCAGTGTATACTCTTCTTGGAATCACCTCTGCGGATTGGTGTACACCTCTGCATAAAGGAATACGCAGAACTGTTAGAGAATAAAAAATGACTAACAAACAGCTCTGCGGATTACCAAACAATTTTGCAGAATAAGTAATATAAAATCACTTTACCATGCGTATTCTTTCATCGATTTTGCACAATTTCTTCTTCATTTCATTTTTTTTTTTGAAATATTAACCCTCATATTTTCCGGCTTCCATACCATGGAGTGCTGAGGATAACCTATGTCTAACTCGTGCATATATTAATATCCACGAGACCACCAGGGTGAATGATCCAAGTTATTGGACCCGTTTAACTTATGCCTTCAACGCTGACCCTCAAACTGCCCCAGAAAACTACCGCAACACTGTTGATATCACAGCAAAATGGTATGAATTAAAAACGAAAGTCTTGATTTTCAACAATCTTTATACCAAAACTGATGATGCACGTCCAAATGAAGATGAGGAAATCATCCTGGACGCGGTGAAAGTTATATGTTTATGTTTTCTAAGATATGTTTTGTAACCTATAAAAATATGGAATATTTGTATAATTTTAATTAGGTTATTTATATGCACCGATTTGTATTACATTATTATGTATTTTGTTTGTATTAGGTTATTTACGAAACAGTTGAGTTAACTTCTACTTTATTCCATAGAACATAAATTACAAAACAAACAAATATATTGAAAACATACATCAGTAGCAAACGTATTACATAAAACAATTCATTATTTTTAACCTTTTTTTGTCAATTTTTTACATAATAATCACATAACGTATTAGTGTATTTTAAAAAAATATATTTTTAACCTTTTTTTATCAAATTTTTTAAATAATAATCATATAACGTATTAGTGTATTTAAAAAAATATATATTAATAAACTAAAATTAACGCAAAAAAAAACAAAAATTATTTACATAATAATCACATAACTTATTAATATATTAAAAAAAATATTAATAAACTAAAATTAACGAAAAAAAAAGCTCAATTCCGCAGAGGTGTAGAAATCCGTAGAGGACTTAGGCTATGTTGGCGTACTAGTTGAAAAGCTAGTTGGTAGTTGAAAAGCTAGTTAATAAAAATAACGTTTGGTAAAACTAGCTGAAAAGCTAGCTAAAATATATAAAATTACATAAAAAGACAAGTAAGAGTATGTGTTTCTATAATTAATTAAGGGGTGTATTTGAAAAAATTTTAAAAAACTTCTAAAAAACTAGTCTAAGTAGCTTTTCAAAAAGCTAGCTTAGAAACTACTTTTTGGCTTACCAAACACAACAATATAAAAAACTCGAAAAATAAACTAGCTTATCAGCTAGTTGTAGCGCGCCAAATACAACCTTAATAGATCCGCAGAAGATGCTTTGCGGATCCTTTGATCATTTCCTGAAATATGTCTTTGATCATTTTCTGAAATATGTTTTTTCTTGGTTATTTTCTTCAAACCAACACTTCTTTTTGGTCATTTCTCGAATTTTCTCAAAAATCAATTGTCATGGAGAATGCAAACGGTCCACTTCTATAGAAGCCAACGATTAGATCTTCTTCTATTTCTTATTAAAGATCTAAGTCAATCAATGTCTTCCTTTTTTTCTGAATTCTTTAATCTATCGTCGTACCAAACTCGACAGTGAATTGAAATTTAATTTAGAAACGATAGTCTCGTACTTCTTTTCACGATTTCACAAAAGTGAAACTCGATATTTTCCTTCTTATTTCGTTTTCCTTTTTCTGCGATAGCACCAGTGAATCCATGAACGAAAGGGAAATTATTTGATTTATTTTTTAATTCAAACATTTTAGAGACTAGAATCTAGATTTATAGTCGTTGCCTCACTTCGATTTATTTCTCAATCACTGGAAATTTCAAGTTGCAATCATTCGGAATTGAATTGAGGTCCAGAGACAAAATCGACTGCTGATAATCTGATTATGAATATGTGTAAGTTCTAGTCTTTTTGAAATCTGCTTTTGTTTGTGAAATTCGATTTTCTTATGAAGTTGTGCAAGTTAGTGGAGAAATCATGTTTTATTGTTTTAATCTATATTACATTACAGAAATTTCTTGAACTTTATTTGCTTAAATTCATATTCTGTTAATCTTCTTAATTTCGAGTCTACTGTACTTCTGGAATCATGATTTTCAGCTGTATTGCTCCCTTTTACAACTACTTAGTGTTTTTTAAACAGTCAACAACACAATCATCACTACAACAGGTAGTCTCCTTGTCTCGGTATATATATTTTTTTGTTAATCTACTATTACTTTTGTAGTTTAATATGTGTCCAAGAAAATATGTGTCTAGAAGTGAAAAGCTGGAAAAAAAGACGACAATTGAATATATATATATATATATATATATATATATATATATATATATATATATATATATTGTTAATCTCTTATTTGCGATTGTTAATCTGCTACTACTTATTGTAGTTAATATGTTTCCCAGAAAATATGTCTAGAAGTGAAAAGCTGGAAAAAAAAAAACAAAAAGACCGACAATTGATGATATTGATTCAAATAAGCTACTAAATGTATATATTTTTTTAGTTTTTCTATGATATGTTTATGTATTAGGGTTCAGGACATGTTATGATGTGGTCTTTTTTTCTTTGTATAAATAGTTAGATTTTTTGGCTTTGTTTGGAAGTGTTTTTTTTTCCTTAGGCTAATTGTATTGTATTTTTTCTAATGGATAAAAGTTTTGAGAGATGCTCATCATCTTTTACAAAAACAATTAGAATGGCCTAATTTTTTATTCGGCCTCGGGCCTCAAATAATCTTGGATCGACATAAGGCTATTTTAATAACTTATTTAAAATTCATTATTTATTCGTATTTTTAAGGAGCTAGCAACTCCTTTTCTTTTGTTGGCATAAAAGGTAATACTCAAATTGTATTTAATCGGGATTATGTCAAAACGATAATCTTTATTAATATAGATATTAGTTGTGAGATCAATATGCTACACAATTTAATTTAAAAAAATAAATAAATATAATATCAAAATATTTGAGAATTTTGAATATATAAAAAAATAAGAAAAATAATGAATTATTATAATCGAAATATTTTTTATCTTTTAAATTTAAACAAATAATTTCAATAAATAAAAGAAACTAAGGAGCTTTAATTTTATGAATTTTGAAATTAAAAGGTATAAGTTTATTAATGAAATTGATATCTATTTATCACTACAATTATTGCAATTATTACATTAAAATATTATGTGAAATTTATAAAAGTAGAAAAACTCATAAAATGATATATGGGAAAAAAAAAAAAAAATTCAAAATAACCACAAAATTACACTTGACAAATTGAATAAGAATGTAATAAGGTACAAAAAAAACTTTTTTTATTAGAAAATATATATATATATATATATATATATATATATATATATATATATATATATATATATATATATATATATATATCCGTTGACAACTCATAGTTTTCTGAGAACCTGATAATTAAAAGTGGAACATTAGATCAAAATTAAATCATTAATGGCATGATCGTCATCTTACTAATCCCATTTAATGTTTAATTTTTTTGTTATTGAAAATATTAATAAAAATTTCTAAAAAAAAAAACTTAAAAAAAAAAAAAAAAAAAAAAAAAAAAAAAAAAAAAAAACTGCATTTTTTTTTCATAAAAACCTACAATTTTTTTTTAGAAAAAACTGCATTTTAAATAAAATCTACAATTTTTTCAAAATCCAAAGAAGAGACAAGTCACAACTTTTTTAACATCCTCATGGCCAAATATGGAAGGGGCAGTATTGGAACATATGTTTTTATATACATTGCCTTCTACTACAAATCTCTTAAATTCTTTAACATCAAAGCAATATGAAGGTAACCCAGTAAGTAATAAACAACACCAAAGCAATACAATCTCTATTTCAACTAAAAGACAAACATAATTTGCATCAAATGATAGTAACTTTACCTCTTCTTGTGTGAAATTGGCAGGACCACGAGTAGCTTCATTTGTTTCTTCTATTCCAACAACTCTTATATACGGTTGTCTAATAGCAACTGCTCCTTTGTGACTGGATCAAAACAGAAAAAAGATTGCCATATTTAGCTATATTCAAAATGTATGAAAGTTAAATGTTATTGGTGAATAGATAGAGTGAAAGTATTACGATGTGGATGTATTTGAAGCTTGAAATATGTTGTAAATTCCCATTATAGTCAATCTTGTACCAGGTACAATTGTTTGCACAAGTTGTCTGTCTACAGATAAAAGCATGTTCCTTGGTAGCCTCACTAGTTGGGACATCCTAAGATTTAAAAAGAGGCCAAAAAAGTTAGAAACTGCAGTAGTGAATCATTGTAAGAAATCATTAAATGTCAAGCCTTTTTATCTCAGGGTTGTCTTGAAGTTTCAAGACTACAATCCATAGGTCAACAGCGCATGGTGTTTCACCCATTTGTAAAAATTAAGAGCAAACGCATTTTAATATAAAAGGAGTTCCCATTTATGGAGGAAATGGAAATAAGGTGATGAATGTAACTAATTACATGATCTTGGCACAATTGCTCCACCAAGCCCAGGGCGACAAGGAATCTAATTATTCATTTCATTTCAGTAGGACTAGGAGAACAACATCTGTCACCAAATACCTTATATAATATAACCTGAAACAGAAATCATCATATGATACTACAGCGTCCAATCCAAGTCCAACAAACTAAAACTTAAAATAGTATGCAGTACCTGACTGAATGAGAACACCTTGGTACGTATGGGTAAGACTAGCTGCCAAAGCATTCATGGCAAGAAAGTGCTTGCAACAGAGTGCCATGTGAATTGAACACTGCCACTCACAAGGGTCTCACACCTAAAACTACATTTCTAGAAGATATAGATAAATAAAGACTTGTTTCTTACCTTACTAACAGAATGATAAACATATAAATCAAATTAAACATACATTTTTTCATAAATAAAAACGGTCTAGGGAGTTGCAAGAATTTAAAAACTCTTAGAACCATATATATTTTTCTAGATGAAAAATGTTAAGAAACAGGAAAATAAGGACGAAAAAATGCAAAAAATAGATTCTTTTCTATAAATTATCCATAAGACAATCTTTCAAGGGTATTATCATTTTTATCTTCCCTATGTAATGTTACATTATCACCCCCATAATTACCTGTAATGTTTCTTTTACCCTTAGAAAAAATTCCACATGCTAACCTTGTCATGAATCCAAGTGCAACTAAGGGTATAGAAAGTGCACCATTTATCTGAATGCTTTCAGCTGTTTGCTTATTTGTATCAACACTCATCTCTGGTCCATTTTGCATCCAAAGATCCTTAACAAAAAAAAAAACAATTTAAAATTTAAACCAGTTTATTTGTTTATTATAATTTTTATAAATAGAAACATAAATAGAAATGAACCTCTATTGCCTTTTGAAGATTTTCCATTTCATTATCTTCACCCTCCATTATTTCCCAACTTGCTAGCTGATTCGTCATCATCATCATCACGCCCTACTACATATATTGCTTGTGGGCCCACCTGATATCACCAAACTTCATATCAATAAACAAAAAACTACTTCAAACAAGAGGGGCATTCATGTCTTTTTATAAGAAATATGATTCAATATACCATTGAATATGTGTAACAGGTTCTTTAGTAAAAGTAACTTCAATCTGCAGCACAACTGAATATGTGAAACAGGTTCTTATATTTCCTGCATCAGAAAAGGTGTATTTTTTTCATATATGGTTTCCTTCTATTAGGCTAATGATTTCAGTTTGAGCAAACTAAAGTAATTCTTCCCTCCTTACCTGAAACAAGTTGTGGGGCATACAAAAGTCAACCCTTTAGATTCTCTAGCATCTGGTTAGTTTCTTGCACATGATCCATAATCAGGGGCACAAATTACTTTCCAATCTGTTCCAAGTCTAGTGGAAACACTTTTATTTGTCTGCAGGAAACAAAGATTGCATTAATAAAAATAAAAAAGAGTCGATTAAATATTATATTCATTAGTATAAGAAAGAACCTTCAATATGTTAAGCACAATCCTAATGACATCTTGATCTTTCAATAAATCCATATTTTCGTGTGCATATCCTATAATTTCCACCCATTGCTGCATAAATCAAACTTATCACAAGACAATATATTAATAAATCCAAATTAAGAATTATCCTTCCAAAAAAACCCTACCTGATTGGGAAGATCCATCAGCCTCTGCAGATACTCATCACACTCTGTTTCCTCAGATTCTGCTTGAATCATATGACCAACCTACCTTCACAAGAACATCAAATTAGTATTTGTAAAAATATATAAAAAATCTCATACTCGAGACACTTACAACTTACATATTCATAAGACGTATGTATCTGGTGAGGCTCAAGGTCAACAACGGTTGTTGGAAGAGTTGTAAGAAGTTATGAAACAAATGGCTCATTAGGTTTGGGAATCACAATTGAATTAAAGAATGTATAAAAATTAAAGAACTCGCCTAATAGAAGATTAGGTTAAGGAATCACTATTGACAATATGTCGTCGTTGAGAAGGACACTGGATAGGAAAAAAAAGGTGTTTATTACTTATTCCCACTAATTTGAGTGTTTGGATAAAATCCAGGTTATTAAGCTAAATAAGCTAATTTTAATAAGCATATTTTCTCCATGCTTATTGCTTATTGCTTATTCCCACCACAAATAAGCTATAAGCAATAAGCTAAAAAGCTAATCCAAACACCCCCTAGTAAATCTTTGTACCTCATGACCACGCACAAAGAAAGCATTAAAATGAGAAAAAAATTGAAGGGTTAATTAACCCAACAGAAAGAAAAGATTTTTAATTACTTTTACGCACATAAAGATACCTCTTCATTTTTCAGTTGTTTCCTCTTGCTTTGTATCAATTCATATACTGTTATCGATAATTTTGATTTTTTTTCTTTGAGAGCAGCTTCCGAACCAATATTAAGATACCTTTTCACCTGTAACGACCTAATTTTCAAGTCCAAAAATTTCATTTTTAATTAAACACTTTGCAAAACATTTGTAAATAAACAACATTCGATCATATCAATTCTTAAAACATATTTCGTGTCTGCAACCCAAAACATGAAATCAACTATAATGTCAGAGTACAAATCCCAGAATAATCTCATAGTGCGGAAAACAACTTATGTGTATGATGTGCCGCTACCGCGCCAACTCCTTCCCCTTTGATGAAGAGGTACCTAAAACCAAAACTGTAAACTGTAAGCACGAAGCTTAGTGAGTTCCCCCGTCGTACCACATACCATACAATCACATAACATACATACTGCCAGACAATTCTGGGGTGTCCGACCTACCCGGTACGGCCATTCTGGGGTGTCGACCTACCCGTACGACCATTTTGGGGTGTCGTCCTACCCGTGTCAAGCCATTCTGGGGTGCTGACCTACCCGTCGGTCCTAACAACTGAACTTGGGGACTATTCCCCTCCTACTACCGCTATCTCATATAACATATCAAGCCAGCATATAAACATATAATCACGTACCCTTCGGTCCTAACAACCGAACTCTATTACTATCGCATATCATGCCAACATACAACATATCAGGTAGTAGCAAACCTAGATGATATCACAAAGACAATCATCTAACATACAACTCCTACTGGTGGGCCGGCATTGTGGCCATAGGCCCACCGCTACTGGAAGGTAACTCACCTCGTAGTAGCTGCTGATCTATGCGGGAATCCTCTAACTACTGCCGCTACTACTTCGGAAATCCTCCGGCTATAATTCCCACAAAACACTTAGTTAGAACTGATATCTACTATTAGGGTAAAATGACCATTTTACCCCTGAACAAGTCAAAGTCAAAGTCAAAGTCAACTACTAGTTGACCTGACTCGCCGAGTTGGCTCGCTAACTCGCCGAGTACCTATCCTTCCATATGTCCTTATACCCATCTCTACTGGTCGAGTTAGGCGATGACTCGACGAGTTTCCCTTCTAAATGAACATCGACTGAATCTTCATCCGACTCGCCGAGTTGTATGAATAACTCGTCGAGTTCATCTTCAACTTATAAACAGGTCATGTCCTTGACTCGCCGAGTTGTATGAACAACTCGTCGAGTTCATCTTCATCCATAAGAAGATTGCCTTGGACTCGCCAAGTCTGCTCATGCACTCGTCGAGTCCCATGAATATCCCGAACAATGGCTTAGTCAGAACATTGGGTCACCCTTTCTGACCTTCTACATTCCTTCTAACACCCAGCTAAGTTCTTTAGACCCTTAACAGATATGGGACTTTATGCCTTGGACTCGCTGACTCCCAGAACGGACTCACCGAGTCCAATCTTAACCAATTCCATGCAGTCAATTTAAATGAGATGTAACACACCAAAACCATAGATCTGGCCTCCTAATGTTCACGTTATACGTAAAGTTCCAAACTTGATGCACATTGTGACATCCCCAAAATCTCGGCCAGAAAAGACCGATTTTCATTATGCTTTTAAAATAATTTCAGAGTAAATCCTTTTGATTTGAAAGAGTTGCGGAATTTGTTCCCAAAAACAAAACACGATAAAACAATGTTTACCAAAGCATTTCATAAAAGAAATGTATTTTCATTATATAATCAAAACTCAGGGTGTCATGTTCCGATACAGAACAATAAGCATAAACGATAACATTACAAGTCATTCAACAAATATATACATATACAGACATGTAAACAATACAACTTGATGGTTCATCCATCTTACGCCCTTGCGCCACTTCCTGTAATACAAATAAAACTGAGTGGGTCAGGCTTGGGAGCCTGGTGAGCATATAGGATTTTCAACCCACAATAAATAATTAATTTAATTTAATCAACCAATAATAACCCAATTACCCATTCCCGTTATTCTCACCTTACGTCCCTAAATAACTAACACAAGGGACCTAGTCTAAGAATATTTCATTGGGGTGACAACACATGTTTCGGGGGTTCCTCAGCAATATAAGTCAAATAAGGCAACCATGAGGGGGATGAAATACAGCGAATGAACACCCAAGTTCATTAACACCTACATGAGGGGGGTGACAACACTATCTAGAAAAGTCCGTGGTCGTCATCTAAATTCCGCTAGATGACTGGATCAAAACTACATCGAGGCCTCTCATCTGTTTATCACACCAACTATCTACCCATATTCTACCCAACATATTAGTAGATAAACCATACATTTTTATACATAGTTTCAAAACCTGTATAGCATGCTAAATCAATACATTTGCACATAACAGAGGAGGCACACACACATAACACGTATCTCATATAGAAATAATCAGATCTGTAAGATAGAAGAAAGTGAATACACATTCACACACATAACAACAAAATATACACATAACACGTATCTCGTATAAAACGCTTCATAATTATGCGTTAGAAGAAAGTAACAACACATTCACACATATAAACAACAATATACTTAATGCACTCAAATCATACTTGTATTATTATCATGTTTATGAAAGGTAGTATACACTCACTTGATCAGAAGATGATCGGATACCACTACGACTTGCAAAGGTAGTAATCCTCAGCAGATCTGGAAGATCTCTACAAAAATCGAACTTCTCGCGGGCAGAGCTTCGGCTTGGAAACCACACTTCTCGGGATCTTCGGGATCTCGGGACTCGGGAATATTACCGGGGCTTAGGGGTACTTCTGGCATGCAAATCGATCCAAAACGGGAGAGAGAAGAGAGAAAATAGCAACCCTAAACGGCTGGCCCTTCAAATCTATTTATAGGGCAAATTTGGCCCTTGCCATGTCGTGGCAACCTTTTTCCACGTCATGGGCTTGGTCGTCACTGCATGCGTCATCCCAAGTTGCATCTGGGGGCCTCCCGGAGGTGTCAAGACACTTGCCATGTCGTGGCACTGCTTGCCACGACGTGGTCTCTAACAGTTTGGGGTTTCGCGCCCTGAACTTCAGAAATTCATAACTTTCGCATACGAACTCCGTTTTCGACGTTCTTTATATCGCCGCGAAGGTGAGATTATGCTCTAAAACTCTAGTTTAGACTCCATTGGCTAATTTTGACTTTATTTTTAATATATTATAAGTATATTACTTATATATTATTTTTAATTGGTCGGGACAGGAAAACTCCGTTCGAAATTCATAACTCCTTCATCTGAACTCCGATTTCGTCCGTATTTCCGTCGTTGCACTAATATCGATGAGATCTTCAATTCTCATTTAGATCACTAAGGATAGATATCTATCTACCTTAAATTCACTATTTACATCGTGCTGGGTCGTGTCGGTTCTGTCGCGAAACTTCGACTGGTCATAACTTCTTCATTATAACTCGGATTTCGACATTCTTTATATATTCGGAAACCTCGTTTCAACTACTACAACATTATCCATAAATATAGACTTTATCTAACATTTCATTTTGACGCTTATTTTTATTCTTAATTAAATTAAGACACACAATTTAGCACATAA